TACTGGACAGGATAAAACTTTACTCATGCCAAGTATTTCTTTATTTGAAACAAAGATAAATTCTGCACAATTTTTTGAAAAGTGCAAATTTAATAAAGACTAATAGGGGAAAATCAATGGTGGTATTACACCTACTGTGGATTCATTTATTTTCGTGGGTACCAATTTTCGTGGATAAGTGAAAATTTGCATGTTCGTGGATATTTAATTTCGTGGTTTGACCGAAAGTCTGCGTACAAGCCTATACAAAATATGTCATTCGTTGAACATTTAATTTCGTGGTTCACTTGTACCCATGAAATCCACGAAAATTGGTATCCAACGAATAATAATGAATCCACAGTAATATGGGAAGCTGTACATGCACCTTTGACCTTGTGAGTACTCTCATGTGTTAAAATTTCTTGCTATTTAAGTGAAATATTACAAATAATGAAATATTCTGAGTGGATTGAGTCTCCAAAACACATTTTATGAAAAAATTTCCTTGTAATAGGACTTTACCATGAATATTAGTTTACAGAACAAGCCATACTTAGAGTATTGGGGAGTTTTTTCTCCTTATTTCTTATATTCTGCTATACTAGAAAAATTTTCCTAAGAAATACTTTAATAAATATATAGTTTTAAGTAAATGAAATTATTTTAAAAGCAGTAACAACAAATTATTCACCAAAAAGAGACGCTTTTTATGTCCGTCTCTGGAACGCGGCGTAAATTTAAGTTTTACGTAAGGACTTATTGAAACCTCCTTTGAGACAGTAAACTTTTATACGGATAATTCATTCAGCTTGAATACTTCAATTAATCATTTATTATAACATTTCTATCATAAATGAGTGAAAGTTACCCCAAAATTTTTATTTATTGGCCTAAAAAGTAGAAATTTTGAGGAAATGAGAGGTATAAATGGACCAAAAGAGACCTTATAAGGAAGACAAAGAGGTCCATTAGTAGTATTTATCATCCTAAAGTCATCTTTTGTATCATATTCAACTGTTTGTAGGCAGATGAGATAAATATTTGATCATTCATTGGTCCACACTATATTCTATCATGATGCGGCTGGGTTTGGATTTTTCGAAGAAATTTTGCTCCAATCGGTGTAGATGTCGTCTTACATTATACTAGATTTTTCTCAAACTATTGAACTGATTAAGACAAAACTTGACAGGAATGCTTGAAATAACCAGTATTACAAAGGAAAAAAGTCACATTCAGTTTATTTAACAAAAAAGTCTTCTTTAGGTGTAATACCACCAAATCATAGTACGTCACATCCGGTTGCATACGAAAATAGGTCGAAAAAAAATATTCCCTTAAATTTGACAGTTGTAGGTAATTGATCCTACATTTCATTGCAGTAAAACACTTCTGGGTCATAAACATATATCTTGGGTATTTCAAAGCACCATTATTTTTTTATTTGGGGTTTCTATAGAATATTTTGGAAATTTGAGGTTAAATGGTTACTAAAGCTTGTACACAGGTTAAGAAAGGGGGAAAATTTGATTGGTTAACTTCCAGTGATGGTTATTTTCTTATATGCAATGAAATGTTTTGTTAAATTTTTTCTATAGTACTGGACAGGATAAAACTTTACTCATGCCAAGTATTTCTTTATTTGAAACAAAGATAAATTCTGCACAATTTTTTGAAAAGTGCAAATTTAACAAAGACTAATTGGGGAAAATCAATGGTGGTATTACACCTATAGCTCCTGTGACGACTTCAACAATTGTTAAGTTTTCTGCTTATGTTAGTTTGATAGGAACTACTTGTGATAGATCATTGATATTTAATATAAAGTTGCATTACTATCAGTACATATCAGTTTGATGACTATTTTGAGGCCCTGAGCTCTAGGACATGGTCCAGTGACTTTTGATTCATTAGCTATTTTCAATGTTAAGTTTTTCTGCTAAGTCAGTTTGATAAGAACTACTTGTGATAGATCAATGATATTTTGTATAAAGTTCCATTACTATCAGTACATATCATTTTGATGATTATTGTGAGGCCCTGCCCCCCTAGGACATGGTCCAGTGACTTTAATTAATTTTCAATTTTCAATGTTTAGTTTTTCTGCTTAAGTTGTATTGATAGGAACTACATGTACTTACAATAAAAAACCATATTTTCTTTAAAGTTAGATCACTGTCTGACCATTTTCAGGCCCTGCGCACTAGATCATAGTCCAGTGACTGAATTAATAAGCAATGTTGCTGTCCATCAGATTGTCTTTGTCTGAATTTTATGCCTATAGGCGAGACAAATCTCTGTGTCAGCAGTTTATTTGTTTTAAGATACCAAAAGCGAACAAAAAAACACTTTTGTGTTTAAGTTTTTTTATTTTGATATCTCAAAAACGAAAAACAAATGGATGCAAATATACAAAGACCGTTTAAGGAGTAAGTTCAGTAGGGCCCAAATATGGCTCCTATTTCTGACAAGTAATGACATTCTGCTTATGAATTCTTTGCCCAAATTTTTCCATAGATCTCTTGAAATATCAAATTAGAATTAAATGGCTGTTATCACAATGAAGCATAGTTAAAACAAACAGGAAATAGGTCATTTTTTGGGAAATTTACATGTCCTCCTTATTTCTAATGTCAAAATTAACATAAATTTTGTCATAATCTTTCCACCAAAATTCAATATAAACAAGCACATTTCCATTGATTTTTAGGACTGGAAACATATATGATAGCACATTTGTCAATGAAAATTATTTTTGTAACATTCTCTTTCTGAAATAAAGCAAACTTTCCTGACTTAAACAGCTGGTTTGTTGTATGCAGAAGATTTTTCCAACTATTGCGAAAACTTCTATTTTTGGTATATTTTAGGTGTAAATTACAATGCTATTTCACTTTCTCACATGTTTATGTATAAACTTGAAACTCTTTTAATCTTGAAAAAATGACCTAACATCTGGGTCAAATTGTGCCCTTACTGCACCTACTCCTTTAACTTACCAAAACCTTACCCCATATATGTAAGTCCTATTCTGCTTGCTGGCTTATATCATGTTTATTGAGAGCACTCAGTTATTTGAATTACTCAAAACTTGAATGTGCATGTTAGAGCTTATCACTCTCGGGATACTCTACAACAGCTTACCTTTTATCTAAATATATAACAAAGGCTTGGGAAATTGGACTTTTTATGCCCAACCTACGATAGTAGTAGGGGCATTATGTTTTCTGGTCTGTGCGTGCGTCCATTCATCCGTCCGTCCGTCTGTCCCACTTCAGGTTAAAGTTTTTGGTCAAGGTAGTTTTTGACAAAGTTGAAGTCCAATCAACTTGAAACTTAGTACACATGTTCCCTATGATATGATCTTTCTAATTTTAATGCCCAATTAGAGTTTTGACCCCAATTTCACAGTCCTCTGAACATAGAAAATAATAGTGCGAGTGGGGCATCCGTATACTATGGACACATTCTTGTTTTTTAATCCAAGATACTCTAGCCGTATAGGTAGTTGCCACAACGCACTACATGTATTTATATCCGTAGCCCAGATACTATTTATTTCCAGTACCTAACCTTAAAGTAAAAAAGATCTGTGGATGTTATCTCTTTGGACTTCGCTAAAAATGCAGTTATCACAGTTGAAGAAATCTGTAATTAAAGGTGGCCTTGAGCATTGACTCATTATAGGACCGCAAAAAAATTTTGCGGTCATTTATTGGTATGACGTTGGCGTTGTCGTCGTCGTCCAAAGAAACATTGGTTTTCACACTCTAACTTTAGTTTAAGTGAATGGATCTCTATGAATTTTTACCATAAGGTTCAATACCACAAAAGGAAGGTTGGGATTGATTTTGGGGGTTATGGTACCAACAGTTAAGGAATTGGGGACCAAAAAGGGGCCAAAAATATTTTTTTTTGTAACTTCCAGACATAACTTGTATGTTAGTGTATGGATCTCTCTGACATTGTACCACAAGGTTCCATATCACAAAGAGAATGCTGAGATTGATTTTGGGGGTAATTGTCTCAAAATTTTAGGAATTAGGGGCAAAAAAAGGGGCAAAAAACAAGCATTTTTCTAGTTTCATGACAATAACTTGTGTGTAAGTGTATAGATCTTTCTGAAATTGTAATACAAGGTTCCATATCACAAAGGGAAAGCTGGAATTGAGTTTGGGGGTAATTGCCCAAAAAGTTTAGGAATAAGGGGCCAAAAATAAGCATTTTTATAGTTTACAGACAATAACTTGTGTTCAAGTGTATGGATCTCTCTGAAATTGTACTGCAATGTACCATACCACAAAGGGAAGGTTGGGATTGAGTTTGGGGGTGATGAATCATAAGGGGGTTCAAAAAATTGGGGGGGGGGGATTTTTTTTTCCTTTTTTTTCTTTAAAATTTTCCATTTTAAATTGGTTATTTCTGATTTATATATAAAAGCAAATAATAATGATATGGTTTGAATAGGTAAATTAAAAAAAATTAAGTTCTTAGACCACATTCATTCTGTGTCAGAAACCTATGCTGTGTCAAATATTTAATCACAGTCCAATTTCAGTGCTGTATCAAGCTTGAATGTTGTGTCCATACTTGCCCCAACTGTTCAGGGTTTGACCTCTGCGGTCGTATCAAGCTGCATCCAGCGGAGCATTTTATTTACTTATATAGTCCTGAACATACATGAAATATTTGTCACTGGAAGAATCACAAACAACAATCAATTATTTACTTACAATTAAGCACTTATAAATGCTACTATATCAATGAGAATAATACAAATTTATAGACGTCATGATCATATTGTACAAATGGACCAATTCAGAAAATCCAGCTGTGTAAATTATGTTGCGTTGCCTCAGTGTCTTCATAATTGACATCTTGACCAATCAGAAGTTCAAAACAGTAACATTACCATAATGCAACACTGCTGAATTAGATCATTTGATGCTCATGTTATACTCAGCCACCTACCAAACAATGTTGATTACTCTCATCATGAATTTTTTACTTTTTTGCAGGGTTTGGCCTACTTCTTGGAAGATGGTAAATCAGCTGTATCTCCCAATGAAGCATTGATGTGGGCTAAAGTCAACCCTTTCTCACCTACTGGATCTGGACTGAGGATTAACCCATTCTGATTCCTCATTGGCACTAGTCCTGGCTAGAATAAACAATTAGTATTATACATGTGCTAAATTTTGTCATTCAGAAAGAATTTAATCGGTGGAAATATTTATTTTTGTCACAATTGTTAATCTAGTCTTTTGTCATATTAGATTATTCATACAGGATCTCTCTTTTAAATTTAGCAATTAAATTCCAAGATTTCTATGCAACAATGCTAGTAATGTTTGCTCCCATGGTTGTACTTCCATGGAGAACTTCCTGGTTATCAAGTTAGGCAATATTAATTGATTGAAGCATTTTCCTGTGTTTTGCCCAACTTTTGGAGGTCTGGTTAAAAAAAGAAGACATTTGCATACATTTTTGGGGGAATTATTGCCAAATGTCTGTTTTTCAACCAAAGAAAGATTATTTTCATAATGCTATTATAGTGGAAACATTGTTAATGCACCTTTGAGCTTCTGTAATTTATGTATCTACATAAAGCTTGGTATTTTTATATTATTTTTTTCTTAATGAACATCATTATGCCCGAAATGAAGTGATCCGTCCCTCCTTCTGAAACAAACAGTCTTTTTTTTCTTTGTCTGCAGATATTGATCTATATTTTTGATACATAAGTGTATAATCATGATATATTGGTCAAGTTTGAACATCATTACCGTTGAGCAACTTTTGGCAGATTAACAACACCTACGCCCCTTTGAACTTATTTGCCCAATATACTACTGCAACCTTTTGTCATCGCAACTCCTCTCAAACCACACAACAGAATTTCATGAAACCTTTTCAGATAATAAGGACATACTACGTAGATGTGCATATCGACAGGAAATTACGATTCAATTTTTTTTCCAGGAGTTACGCCCCTTTGAACTTATTTGCCCAATATACTACTGCAACCTTTTGTCATCGCAACTCCTCTCAAACCACACAACAGAATTTCATGAAACTGTGTAGATAATAAGGACATACTATGTAGATGTGCATATTGACAGGAAATTATGATCTGATACAATTTTTTTTTCTTACACTTGTTTTATTTCTCCAATGACAATGTGGGGACGTGGGGTATGTGAGCGCGCTCACTAGGGTTCTTTAATTTCTGCAATTAAGAGTAAATTAATTTCTCATAATTCTTTATTTTTAAATGAACCACATAGTTCAGAGAGGAAACACAAATTTCACTTAAAATGAATTATACTCAAAGCTCCAAAGTTTTAATCCAACCAGAAAAATTTATCCACATGAAATACACAGTGAAAAGTACATTAATCATTTATCAATTCAATTCACTTAAGCTTTCAATCAATCATCAAGAGCTACAGGTACATTTATAGAAGAACTAATAGAAGAATTCAAATATCGAAAAATATGCAACAAGTGACAGAACAAGACAGTAATTCACGAATGCATGTAGCGCTTGAGTAAAATATCAGTGTTTTTCGATCATGAATTGAATATTTTTTTTAAATTGAATTCTTCCATTATTTATTCTTTTTATAACATTGACCATGTGGTTTTTAATGGAAATAAAGTAGAAAATACAGGGAACTATATCTTTTTTTATACATTCCCAAAATCGTTACGATGCAACATTGTATGAAGTCAGAGGAGTGAAATTATCTGTTTTTATTTAACTGGGAAATCACAGTAATTCATTGTATTTTTTTCCTAAAGTAACACAGACGTTGAGCCATTGTGTTTAAATTGAATAGTTAAAAATGTTTGTAGCAGTTTACATTCCATAAGTATATGATATGTTATATGCAACAGATTATTTATTTTATGAGTATTTTTTTCATATTTTGTAGTTGTTAGATATATTATATCATTGTTAAGTTTTTGAAATAACAAATCCGTCCAAGCTCTGTTTTGCTATGCATGTTTTGGATTTTTTGCCCTTGTATAATCTATGTATAAAAAGCACAAGAATACTCTTTTAAATTATTGTTTTTACCAGATTATATACATGTATATATCTTCCTATCCAACATATAAGTTCATATTGTACATGTTCAATTGTTCATCAGTCAATCAAGCAGTTCTATAAATTTTACCTTCATATTGATTATAATCCAATGCTCCACATTTCAGTGTTATTTTATTCATTATGACATTCATTTTCTGCTGGAATAACTAGAGATGGTTTTAGGTATAATGTAATTTTAAAAAATAACACTTCTCCATATTTTTAAACAGGTTTTTCAGACAGAAATCCAGTTATTGAATTGGGTGGTGGCTCTAGCAATTTCTGGATTAACCATTCAACAAATGCATTTTGATATGTTGTTACTGATGACTAAATTAGAGGTCAAGTTTGATATTGACGATTTTCATTTTTGAGGTTCAGGAGTTATGGTCCTTGATTGATTAAAAATGACATTTTAAGTTATTTATGTGCAATAAGTTGAGTTATGGCCCTTAATTGCTTGAACAATGACATTGAAAAATGTAATAAAAACCCGGTTTGTTGTCATCTTGACAACCTCTTGTTAATTTGTAGTACAAAATGTATTGATATTGATATTTCTGCATTTCCACACATCCTCCTCATCTTTAAATTCCAGAGCCCTCAAACTTTTAAAAATGTATGTAGATACATTTGATACTTGCACTTTTTCTCTATGTTTGAAGAATTTTGATATTTCAGAAAGTGAAACTGAAGTAATTTTTTCATCAAAATTCTGTATGACAGGAACTAATCTCTAATGTGTGATTTTGTCTTGTTTTAGCTAAAATTTTGTAGGAAACAGTAGATAGTTCAGGGTATATAGATGCAAGATTGATTTTTTTTTAAATATATAGGATTATAGTTAAAACCTTGTATGTTTTAGCTTCCAGGAAGTAGACATTTTTCCTCACTGTATTGCAAAGAATTTAGAAGTATGTTAACACATTTTTAATTACTAGCACAATTTTTGAAACATTAAACAAACATTCCTACATTATGCTTTGTATTTTATATGAGACCAACTCTATATATCCAAGCCAAATTACATGATAAGTACATGTATGCTACATGCTGACATGGCCAGACAGACAAGTTAAACTATTTGTTTTACGTTTGAAGTCTTTTCTTTATCAATTTTTATATATCTGATTGGAATAAAGGTTGGGGATTGAGGTATTCCAGACAAATCCCACAAAACATTTGCACACTTCAAAGAGACAGTACTAACATAGTATATAGAGTATTAATGGTTTTTGTCTCGCCTTGACAGAGTCAAAATGCTAGACATAGGTAAGCTGTTTCTGGTGACAGTGGTGTCGTTAATAATGTTTTAGTTTGTGATTAGGTCAGTTTATGGAGAACCACTAGTGGTAGTTCAATGATATTTGGTATGCAGTTGTATAAGCATTGGCAAATCTCATTTCCATGAAGATTATTTGGCCCTGCCCCCTCGGTCATGGTCTATTGACTTTGAAACTTTTGCTTAGTTAACATGTATTAGTTTGAATTAGGTCAGTTTATGGGGAACCACTAGTGGTAGGTCAATGATATTTGGTATGCAGTTGTATAAGCATTGGCACATCTCATTTCCATGGAGATTATTTGGCCCTGCCCGTCAGTCATGGTCTGTTTACTTTGAAACTTGCTTAGTTTACATGTATTAGTTTGTGATTAGGTCAGTTTATGGGGAACCACTAGTGGTAGGTCAATGATATTTGGTATGCAGTTGTATAAGCATTGGCACATCTCATTTCCATTGAGATTATTTGGCCCTGCCCCGTCAGTCATGGTCTGTTTACTTTGAAACTTGCTTAGTTTACATGTATTAGTTTGTGATAAGGTCAGTTTATGGGGAAGCTCTAGTGGTAGGTCAATGATATTTGGTATGCAGTTGTATTATCATTGGCACATTTATTTCCATGAAGTTATTTTGGCCTTGTACCTTCAGTCATGGTTCATAGACTTTGAATATTTAGCATAACTTACATGTAAAAGTGTTTCTATTTTAATTTCAACATTTGCATTTTCCTATATAAATAACAAAAAGACAAGACATATCTCTGTGTTAACAGTTTATTACATTTAATCCTTGGCAGAGTCCCTGTTTAATTTTACTTTCCTGACAGCATTATCGGATGTTAAATGATACTCTCAGATAAAGTTCATATATACATTTTCTGTCATTTTAACTTACACAAATGTGTCCTATTCTTTCTAGGTGGTTCTTTCGGGACACCCCAGCTTCATCCATCAATAGAAACTGGCCTCCACAATATAGCCAATAGCTTTTGAACTGTAGTATTCAGGTTGAAACATGTCAAGTGGCTTTGAAATAATTGTTGGTTTTGAATTTGCCATTTTGGAAAAAGTTCAACATCAAAGTTCATTTATTAAAGTTGTCAATTCATCTTAATAAAATTACACTGAGTGAGTAATAGGACTTTGACTTTTTTTTTAGTATTCTATCATTAACACCTTGAGAATGCAACTCCTCTGAGACTATTCGAAAGACATCTCTCATACTTTTGGTACTATTGTTTGCCATCTTGTCAAGTTGACAATTTATTACCACCAATTTTACAGGAGTTATGGTAGTTTGACAATCTGTTGCAGTATTGTAACAACACCACCTTTTGAACTTCTATGAGACCATTTTAAAGAAACCTCTTATATTTGGTAGGATTGGTTGCCATCATGTGTAGTTGATCATATTATATCATCACTTTGATCCAACCATATTTCTTTCCATATTTTGACTATCCTACCACCAAAACACATAGTGACACACACTAATTCCTCATATATACAGCACATGGAGTATTTTTCTACAGCATAGCAATCTTGTTGAATTTATGTTGAAAATATTAAGATAAAGGTTTTTACTACAGGTATCACACTAACTAAGCATTATCTGTGAAAATGAGGTCAAGGTCAGATGAAACATGCCAAATGGACATGCAGAACATGTTTAACCCCGCCACATTCTTTATGTGCCTGTCCGAAGTCAGGAGCCTGTTGTTCAGTGGTTGTCGTTGGTTCATGTTGGTCATATTTGTTTTTAGTAAATTGTTTTGTTATAAATTAGGCCGTTAGTTTTCTCAATTGAATTATTTCATATTTTTCATGTCGGGGCCTTTTATAGCAGACTATACAGTATGGGTTTTTCTCATTATTGAAGGCCGTACAGTTGCCTATAATTGCTTACATCCACTTCATTTGAACTTTGGTGGATAGTTGTCTCATTGGCAATCATACCACATCTCCTTCTTTTTATATGTACACCTAACAATTATTCCATACACAAAATATAGAAACATAGTTGACCTACTGCTTATAGTATGAGTATCTGAGAATCCGACCTAACCATGAAAACCCTCCCAACATGTATAAAATAAATCCTAAATTCCTACACTGAGAATAGCCTACATCCTTCAGTGATTGGTTTTAACCATGTTCATAAATAACCAGTAAAAGAAGCCAAGACTTTTGTAATTTTCATCATGATAATGAATATTTTACAATGGTTTATGTTTTTAAATTAAGCAATTTATCATAATTTACATATAAGAACTGGAGACAGTTTGCTACAAAAATACACATTGTCTTACACTGGTCAAACATAATATAGCACTCTGTATTGTTTTTCTATACATACATGTAATTGATAAGATATTTACAATCTTTCCATGAAAAATGATAATGATCAGAACCTGAAAAATTACAGCATCCTTCTTTACTGATAATTTCCAGCTTAAAACTTCATTCATTTACACAAATTCACTTGAATCTTGATCTTTATATCCAGTTCATTTACAAATTCACACAAATCTTGATTTTAATGTCCTGAATAATATACAAATTCACTGACATCTTGATCTTTATATCCAGTTCATTTACAAATTCACACAAATCTTGATTTTAATGTCCTGGATTATATACAGATTCACTGACATCTTGATCTTTATACTTGCAAGCAGCTCAATTTTTGCAAAAAATACACTAAACATCTTATACAACCTCACTAGTCACTAAACATATCCTTCAATATAATATTTTTATCAATGTTCTATCATTCATAGTACCATTTTCTTACAATGAATACTTTACTAAAATCATTTCAAAAACTCATCAATGTCAAATCCTTCATTATCATCACCATCTGCTTGATTGTCATCCTCATCAGAATCTGACACCTGTAGATCCTCATTTATATCCCCTTGTTGTAACTGATGTTGTGCCTCAGTAGCCAAGGCACTGTGCATGAAAAAGTCTGAGGGATCAAAACTGTTCTCATCTTCATCCTGAATACCTGGCATATGGAAATCTCCTCCTTGCTCAAAATATTGCTGTTCTGAATAGAATTGTTGATTTTCACCACTTATATCCATTTTCTCTTCACCATCACTCTCACCTAAACAGAAATAAGAATAAAAATGAAAGCAACTTCAATGCTCTCTTTTTAAGTATTGAAAAGGAATATATATACATGCAAAATGGTTAAAAAGTTTCTAACTTTTGTAGATCTTTTTCTAGCAGAATTTTGTTATTCAAATGAAGCATAATCCTTTAAGGTAACTGAGATTGAATTGTCTCCCTTTGTATACATATTTGAAAAAGTAAGAAAATTCAGCCTTGATATCAATACACAGGTTGTATGTTCATTTTCATTTCATTGTACTGAATGGTATTCAATTACTTCAACAAGCACATGGTACTGATAAAATACTAACATTATTTCTTATCATCTGCTGAAAAATTATCTCTTATTCCTTTACTTCAAATCATTGAGTGTAATATTTTACAATTGTTTATTTACAGACAAACTATATGCAAGTATATTTAATTAAAATTGAATTTGTCTGTTTCACTTCAAAATTTCACTAAGTTATTTTTTTTCATTTAAGGGCAAATTACTTCTGAATAGTTCATGGTAATATTAATTAAAATACTGTGGATTCACAATTATTCGTTGAATACCGATTTTCGTGGATTTTGTAGGTAATTCAAAATTATAAGTTCAACAAAGAACAAATTTTCTATAGGCTTGTATGCAGACTTTGGCAATACCAAGAAATCAAATATCCAAGAAAATACACAATTTTTCCTCAATCCATGAAAATTGGTACCCACTAAAAAAAAAAGATTCCACAGTAGTCATTTACACATCAATCAATGATTTGATTATATGACTTTAATTCAGAAGTCTGTCCCTTCAAAAATCTGGACTGGTGACATATTTGATAATAAAATCAGATCAAAATCATAAACATCAGGAGAGAACACGGGATCAAATAATTGACTTAGACAACAAGCTTACAGACTATAGTAACAATAGTCCTGATGGCATTCATAGTTTTAAACATGGAAATTAAATGCCATAAATTTTAGTTTTTGATGTTGGTGGGTTTGAACCCCAAATATCCCTTTAAATTCTGATGAAAAAAAAAATAAATGTTAATATACTCTACCTGAGAGATTTTCATCTTCAGAATGATCAGGAGTGATCTGTAAGTCTTTGGCTAAAGACTCATTTTCTGCACTAGAACTTTGTCTATGGTCCTGCAATATAATGTTTTATTATTGTACATTCTGGAATGTTTGTGTGCATTTATTATTGAGGATCAAATTGTGAGAATTATTATTACAATTTCAGGAAATGCTGCATACAATTAATGCTATCAAAATTCATAAAATAATTTTTTTATTTTTGCCATACTTATCCCATCACATAATAAAAACCTTGAAAAATTTCTGCATTAACAGCAATCTAATCTGTGTCAACTAAATGTCATACAAACATAATTTTAATTCTTGGATTCTATAAAATTATTGAATCCAATATAAATAGTTGTGTGTTCAAAACTTTTTTTTATATGAATGAACATTTTTTCCATGCATACAACAGAAAGACAATAGTCAGGAGATGAATGACAGCATTAATAAGAAGATTTTGTCATTATTTTAAGTATATTGTAGAGGTAAACTTATACATGTATT